ATAATTTATTTTAATACGCCAGTTATATATTTATACATTTATTTCCAATAATGATAGGTTTGGTCCTCCATAGATTAGTTCAGCGTTCACATCTAAAACCTGCCTCTGACCGGATACTCCGGTGCAGCTTGTTGTTTTTGGAACGAGCGCGACGGGCCCGATGAAACAAGAAAACAACTTTTCAACTAAACTTTGACGATAACAAAATAAATCAAACTTCTATTAAGCTCTTTTAAATAAAATTTAAATATATTATAAACAAATTTAAAAGTAGTGAGTAACAGGTTTGATTTTATGATAATGATTTAAAACATATTTTTAGATTTTGTTTTTTGCATTTTTCTTCCCTAGCCCCCTTWGCGCCCCCTGGCGGCCTCTCAGTGGTCCGCAGCCCCCAATTTGAAAAAAGCCGACCTAAGACTGCCTTATGACATTATGTTGTGTGCTCCAGGGCAGCTGTGGCTACTGTGCAACTTACCATCATCAGAGTGCGAATGTGTGTATGAATGAATAATGTAAAGTGTCTTTGAGTGTCTAGAAAAACACAATACAAGACTAATGCATTATCATTACTATTATTATTACTACTATTATTATTATTATTATTATTATTATTATTGACAAATAATGACAAAGTAGCCATTCTGCTCAAACCTCTAAATTAGTTTCATGAGATGTCATGCCCAGAGTAGGTGTTGTGAATGACTCTCAGCTACTCTCACATCAAATTCTAATAAATTGATGGCAAAATGTTCAACAAAAATCTTACATAAGCTGTTAGTGCCCAGAATATCAGTAGGACATGAGTCTCAGTTAGCACCACACCAAACATAAACATAATATAGTCATAGCCACTTGTGTTTCTAGAGTCAGTTGACTGAAGTGGCCATCTTGAATCGAGTCGACTAAAAACGTTAATCAGTTGTAGACACTCGCCTGCTGTCACACTCTGCTCGTTTCACTAAAATCTGTGAGTTTTCAAAAGACCCACATTRTGAGTTGAGTAGAACGCAGACTGCACATACGAACTGTGTTTTGTATTGTTCATGTTCACGCTGCTCCTTCATTTAACTCTTTGAACTCTGACGCAWTGCCGGGGACAAAATGTTAAGAAAAAGGCAAATGCTTCCCTTTTGTTCCGTTCAGAGCAGACCAGCTGCCTCAGAGACACTAAATTATTTTGTTAAACAATGGAGCGGCTCTGCTCCAGGAGACATTCAAGAAACGATTATGTGCAGCTCGGTTGATAAATATATGCAGGATAACGAACTACAAAAGGCTGGCATCCAGATTTGTGCTGTGCTACGGGCGTTACAATCAACATGATTCATTCATTCATTCACCACTGGAAAGATGTTCAACTGATGGTTGTCAGTGGCAACAAGACCTGGCAGGAAGAGTCAAGAGGCTAATTCACCAGAGGGGGGGAAGACACAGCTAAATTTATCTTAATGGTGTTGTTAATGTAGGCGGACAAATGCACCCCCACGCAGGCCCTAAGGCTTTCTGAGTCAAGACCAAGTAGAAGCGGAGGTACAGACCTTCTTCAAAACGCTGTCGGACTCTGTCCTCCGCAGATCTCCGGCTGTGTCCTCGCTCTCGTCTCTGTCTCCACCTGGCGTGAAGGAGAAACCACGAGGACGTGAAGCAGTCAGTAAATGATGCACATTCAGCAGGTGTACTGTGAGAACCGAGGCACAACGATCGTCTAAGAAAAACAAAACTAAAACTGAGCTCAGAATGTCTCATTTAATGTTCATAGCAGGTAATCACTTGTTAGAGATGACACAGCAGGCGGGTCGATAAGTGAGCTGCAACCTCAGGCAGGTCAACGCCCACCCACCAGCAGAAAAATCTATTGTTTTTCACAGAAATACTACCTTCATGTTTTTCCCTCTTTACCTCGCAGACAGGGAAAATCTAAAAAAAAAAATAGTAATAAAAGTTTGATTGCATTTCCTAGTGAAACTGCTGTGCTTGCTTACTGTTCAGAAATGCTTGTTTCTAAAAAGGAACAAACGCAACAAGCTAAAGATCTAACATTTACACACAAAGTGCTCATCAGTGGTGGTTAGATCCCTGCCTGCAACTCACTGTGACTCAAAACCCTGAAATTTACTTGTTCAAACATTTCAGGTTCCCTTCAGTAAGTAAACTGTGAGTTTTTGTGACCATGAAGTGAGATTGTTTTTTACATGAAACCACCGATTGACTGGTGTCAGCATTAGCTCTGTGCAGTTTCCAACACTCCTTCTAGGCCACGTCTGTAGAGCTCTGATCAAATCTATGAAGGCTGAGGTCTGAAGACTTTTAACTCAATTCAACACTTTATAGACAAACTGCTGCTCTCGATGCTCTGGGTTTTTTTTATTGATAAAAAATGTAATTTTGATCTGAAAATTATGCATAAAGAATCATCCACACTGTTGAGCAACAGTGTTCAGAAGAAGCAAGTCATAAAGAGCAAGCTGTTTACTTCAGCTGCACAGATTTTGGTTTTTAATCACCTGCTACTGTTGTAGGTTGTTGAAACAAAATCTATAAATACAGGATGAGTTAAAACTGGTGAGTAATTTAACAACTGTTTTCCACTTTTCTTTGTCATTTAAACAGTTAAATTGTCTTCATTTGCTTGATTTAGAGCAAATAAGTTTTTTATTGTTTTCATTTGTATTTTAATTTGATTCCTTCACTAAAGTTGAATAAAAAGAAAAATCTGCAGCAGGTTTTAGTCCCTCCTGCAGATGGAGAAATGGGGATTTATTACAGCTCAATAACCCCCCAGGCTTGCAGCTCACAAGCCAGAAGTTGAGAGCCTGAGAGCCATCGCTCCAGGCCTCGTTTCTGCTCCCCGAACCCCTGTAAAATGTTTTATCTGTGGCACCGAACAAGGCCGTTGTGGGAAGTGTTGGAGCCACAAAAAGTCTGAACTTGTAAAACAGCATTGGCCTTTTCAGCAGTGCTGGTTGGTGCTCATCTGTGGTCCGGTAGCTGAGTCGGTGCAGTTTTTCTGACACACAGGTGGGGAGCAAGGAGTGTGTATATGTGTGTGTGTCTGTGTGTGTGTGTGTGTCTGTGTGCGTGTGTGTGCGTGTGTGTTTGGGAGTGGGCGAGCGTCGCAGTTTCAGGACCTGACTGGACATCACAGCATCAGTAAACATGCAAAGAGGAAGTCTTACTCTTACTGCTGTGCATCTGGTGGCTGTCGAAGCCTCCGAATGTTTCGGCCCGACGGGGGAGACACACCGGCCCGGCGCCTCCTCCCTCGTGGACGCTGGCCATCGCTCCCCCCAGGCTGCTGTTCACTAGTGCCTGTAACGTCTCCACTGTCATCCACACACACAGGCACACGCACGCACACACACACACACACACACACACACACACACACACACACACACACACACACACACACACAC